AGTCCCTCCAAAGTCCGGATGGCCAGGTTACGGAAAATGTCTTAGAGCTGGAGAACATGACCACAACTTTCTATCAGAATCTCTATACATCAGAGGGGGTACACGACATGGAGCAGGTACTGAACACAATCCCAACAAAAGTAACCCAAGCTATGAACGACATGTTAAATGCCACATATACAAGCAAGGAGGTGAAAATGGCTCTATTTTAGATGTACCCAATGAAAGCACCTGGTCCCGATGGATACCCAGCGCATTTTTTTCAACACCATTGGGACACCTGTGGGGATGAGGTAACAAAGGCGGTCCTGAGGATAGTGGAGGGTACGGAGTCGGCGGAGTGTATAAATGACACAATCTTGGTACTCATACCAAAGGTAAAAAATCCAACCCTCTTATCTCAGTTCCGCCCAATAAGCCTATGTAATGTCTTGTACAAGATTGCTTCCAAGGTTATATCTAACAGGCTCAAGGTAGTTCTACCTGAAATAATATCAGAGGAGCAATCAGCCTTTGTTCCTGGCAGGCTGATTACAGACAACATCATCACAGCGTATGAATGTTTACATTTTATGAAGAGGAACAAGGCCAAGAAACATCAGTCGTGTGCTCTCAAACTTGACATCATGAAAGCTTATGATAGGGTGGAGTGGGCTTATCTGAGGGCAATCATGTTAAAGCTTGGTTTTACAAACAGGTGGGTTGACATTGTAATGAGCTTGGTTACCACAGTCAAGTTCTCTGTTTTGTTCAATGGTAAGAAGTTACAACAATTTATTCCATCAAGAGGTATCAGACAAGGGGACCCAATCTCTCCATATTTGTTTTTGTTGGTAGCAGAGGGCCTTTCGTGCCTGTTAAAATCTAAAAGTGAGTCATCCAACTTGGGTGGACTACAGGTAGCCCCTACGGCGCCACTTGTAAGCCATCTTCTATTCGCTGATGACAGCCTGCTGTTCTTCAAAGCAAACAATGGGGGGGCAACTGAGGTGCACCATGTGCTGGACACTTATTGCCAAGCGACTGGGCAGCGCATCAACTACTCCAAATCCTCAATATATTTCAGTAAGGGGGTTCCTGACTCGGTCAGACAGGAGATCAAAGAGACACTCCAAGTTCCCAATGAAACACTAAATGAGAAGTACTTGGGTATGCCGTCAGACATAGGAAACTCAAAGAACGGTGCCTTCAAATATCTCAAGGACCGACTCTGGAGCAAGGTTCAAGGTTGGATTGAGCGTACTATGTCCGCGGCTGGTAAGGAAGTTCTTGTCAAATCCGTTGCGCAGGTTGTCCCAGTATTTTCTATGTCATGTTTCAAATTACCTAGAGGCTTGTGTGAACACTTGAACATGCTCATCCGAAAAATTTGGTGGGGAGCAAAAGATGGAAAACGCAAGCCACATTGGGTCTCCTGGAAAACGATGACACAACCCAAGGGAATGGGAGGTCTCGGTTTCAAAGATTTTAAACTTTTTAACTTGTCCATGCTCGCTAGGCAGGCGTGGCGCTTGTTGCAAGATCCAGAGTCGCTGAGTGCTCGAGTGCTGCAAAGTGTATACTACCCGTCTTCTGATATACTCCAGGCTGAATTGGGAAGCCATCCGAGCCAAGTATGGCGGGCCATCATAGAGGGAAGGGATGTTCTTAAGCAAGGATTGATCAAGAGAATTGGCAATGGAGCAGGTACAAACATATGGACCGATAACTGGCTTCCCAGAGAGGAGATGATGCGTCCCTACGGGAGTATCTCGCCAAATCCACCAACACATGTGTCAGAACTCATAATTTCTGTGAATGCATCATGGAATAGACAGCTTGTCCAACAAACTTTCATGCCTATGGACGCTACAGTTATCCTTGGTATGCCAATATGCACATGGAACATCACAGATTTCTGGGCCTGGTTTCATGAGAAAAATGGTACCTTCACTGTTAAATCAGCCTATAAAATGCTAGTAACTACCAGAAACAGGAGAGAAGCGTGGCTGGATGAAATCCCGGGTCCTTCCAGCTCCAGGGCCGACGAAGGGGCATGGAAAACACTGTGGAAGACGGAAGTGCCAGGCAAGGTTCGGATGTTTCTTTGGAGGTTATCTAAGCAATCGCTTCCGACCAATGACGTCCGTGCTCATCGCCACATGACAGACTCGCCGCAGTGCGGGCTGTGTGGAGTTCAGGATTTCTGGCGTCACTCGCTGATCGAATGCACCTCCTCCAGGAGCGTGTGGGATCTTATTGATGAGGAAATCACACATAAAATAATAGCTACAGTGGAGCCACAAGCAAAGCAATGGTTGTTTACGCTGATGAAGTTGTTATCACGTGATGAATTTGCACTCGCATCGGTGGCATTGTGGTCCATTTGGCATGCGAGGCGCAAAGCAATACACGAATCTATTTTCCAGTCCCCCTAGGCGACCCATGATTTCATCACACGGTATATGGCTGAGCTCGGCATAGTCAAGGAGAAGATGCATCAAACTGTGGTAAGGAGTGTTACCACAGGACAGGCACACACCCGACCCCGTAAGCCACCGCCGGGATATTACAAAATCCATGTAGACGGTGGAGTGCTTGGAACCAGGGGTGGGTCGGCGGCAACGATATGTAGAGATGAACATAAAAACTATATGGGTAGCTCAGCTCTTGTCGTTTAAGGACTCACAGATCCATCAACTTTGGAAGCAATGGCGTGTCGAGAGGCCTTGGCTCTAGCAGAAGACCTTGGAATCCAAAGCTTTGTGGTTGCCTCCGATTGTTAGCAAGTGGTCTCAGATATCAACATGGGAGCAAGATGAACTTATGGAGCAATTATCAGAGAGATAAACATTAGATCATCACCATTTTTTTTGTAATTTTGTTTTTGAGTCGTGCTGTTAATGTAGAAGCACACCGTCTAGCCAAGTTTTCTTTTACGAGAGGACCAGGTCGCCACGTATGGCTTGGTGCACCCCATGACCTCGGATGTATCCCACACCATATTTTTTGTCATCTCTAATTTACATGCAAGACTTAAGATAAGACTATCTTATCAACCATTGTACATGCCCTAAAGAACTTGCACGGTTGTTGCACGGAACGGCCGTGACCGCGAGACAGAGACCCGGCAGCCCCGACTAAGAACGGCCGGCGGCGCTTCGTGCGGCTAGGGCGAGTCTACCTCGGTGGTTCTACCAAGCTAGGGCACGGCGGCCGTCAGGGCTCCAACGAGCAACACCGGCCCTCTCGACAAGCGAGGACCTGCTCCGTGCAGCGGCACAAGGTGAGCGCCTTGCCTCCTCCTCGATCTGCGCTGGTACTTACCCTAGAATTTCCCCGTCGACGGCGTGCAATTTTGAGCAGTACATACACGCGCTCCGACCTAGTAGTTGCGAGCTTTCCTGATGTTTGATTTCGCCATGCTCAGATTTGGGCACTCCCGTTGCTGATTCAGCTTCATAACATGTGCGTCGTATCTGAATTTTGTTGCGAACGTGCGCTGGTAAAATTCTCTAGCGTTTATTGCGGGCCGATGGAGTAGTTCATTCTGCCTGTGGCTGTAGCATCTAGTAGATTGCAAAAATCTGGGTACTAGGCTCTCCTGGTTGTGGATTCGGTACGGCGATTTTAGTTTAGAGTATTGATTCTCCCATGGTTGAGTGAGTTGCGTGCTGGCCTTCCTAAAATTCTGTCATGGTTCTGTTGCCCAATTCAGATCCAAGCTCCTCTTTCTGGAGAAGCAACCACTGTTCATATAAACGAAACTGTAAGCTATCACTTGCACCAAAGCTACAAAGTCCGTGGTTGGTAATTCTGTCATCGATTTTTAAAGCATAATCATGTGCAAATATGCAAAACCTAATTATACGGAGAAATCCCCTCAGCTCAAATTGAATTGCAGGATGATTCTCGATAAAATGCTGCATTCGTATGGGACAACATAGAGTCACTAGTACTGCAATTCATAACACGAGCTCACAAATCAGATCATAAGGCAGATGGATAGAGCATAACAATCTGCCACGTTGTCCATGGCATCCCCCTCATGCGTTGAAAAATATCGCAGCCTATGGTATTTGGGCGATCCTGCTAATTTTGCACATCATCTACACATTTATTGTGAGAATCGATTTCAACATGGTTTATGATGGAAGTAATTCACAAAATATAATATGAAATGAAACTAGCTATTTATACCACAATAAATGGTAATTCTCTGAATAAGACTTCCCTACATAAATACCCATGGCCGATCTGGCAGATAAAAATTAATGAGCACAAAAGATACATCTAATCTACATCTCCATGGGATCTCCCTCTTAATCCTGACTCCTGAGTTCACCACCATCACCAATCCATAGATCCCTGTCACCCAGGGTTCCGAACCATCACCTTTCTTTCAGGGGAAAAGTTCCTGCAATCAACTGGTAAGAGGTGGAAGATGGTCTGAATGATGCGGTGGTGGTTCAGCTGCAGTTCCTTATCG